TTTGACAGCCCCAATGTGATGCGTGGCGATGAGAGCTTCTTGACAAGCTTCTTCGACGCAAACATCCAGTGCGAAACGTGGTGTGCATCTTTACACTATGTAATTAAGAATATCGCCAATCCTGAGCCTCACAATTTTACGCGTCATGGACCTAAGCCATGAAGACCGTTGTTCTAAATATCTCTTGGCAGCTTTATCAAGAGTCAGACCTGCCACAATTGGTGCGAATTTTTATCTGGGAATATCCGAGCTGTTCTTAATCTACCATACATCTAATCGAGAAGAAAAGTTGTTTTAGGGTTAGAGGAAGAATATCAAAATTCTATGTTTTAAGCTAAGTAAATTCTTATAGATAATTCAAGAGAGATAAAATTTGGCTTGTTTCTTGCCTAAAAAGGTAGTATGTAGGCTTTCTCTTAGCCGGCAATAATCGGAGAAAGTTGATCAAATTCGTCCCTGTGTGTTACCGATGCGAATAAATTTTGATGCACCTAAATTGGGTGATCCAGGAATGACGCAATGAAAGAGGGAGAATTAGAAGCCTCGGCATCAGCGAGCGCTTGTCAACAGCTTGTGCATGATACTTCACGCGCGATTCTCGAGGGCTCTTAAGGGAATAGCTTATAAAAATGCCTTTAGCTCCATTACGCTTTGCATTAACCACGGTGTGGAAGGCTGTCAAAAAATTTGCATGGAATTGAAGTATATAAACATAATATCCATAGAGGAACAACACCCATAGAGGCTGTGACGGCCAAAGGTACTGAAGTTAACTCATCCATCTAGCGAAAACGCCAATTTCTAGCAAGACCACATAATAAATCAATATTAATAATCCTATGAATGAAAATTAGATATGATTTAAATTAGCAAATAACGTCATTGAAAGCTTTTTTGATTTCGAATAATACTGAGGTGGCGTTATTAAACACGACTTAACCCAATATGGTACAGTGAGAGCTTTGAAACTGTTTTGTAAAAAATATCCGTATCTCGATTTAACAGTAGGTCACCATGATAATAAAATAATTATAGGTGGCTCCAAAAAAAAAATGATGCTGGATTTATTCAACAATTAGCTAATAGGGATCAAAGGCCAAAAATCATATGTCATTACCTTCTCAAGTGTCACATGAAACTTCGTCCTTGACCGTCACAGCCAGGACAAAAACAACATCAACCTCATAGTTATAAAATATTTTTTTACGTCAAATTGAGAGGAAACATATCGCACCAGAGGCTATATGACAACAATGACTGCCAAACAAAAGCGACGAGAACGAGCGTAGCTGCTTTCATTGCATGTTGACTGTAGGTATTTATACAGCTTTGGCATAAAGAAAATATGAAGAGCTGGAGAAAGCCGAAGTCAATTACTTCCCAGAATATTTATTTGATGTGAAAATTGTCGATCGTGTCGTTGATGAGCCAATTTTCTCCTTCTCCAAAATTCAACTCCAATGGATAACATAAATGAAGGATCTTGTTGAATTGCTTGACGATATTACCTCTGCAATTTTGTGCGAGGTGAGGTATTCAAAGGCTAGATTCTTATAAATTGCAGTGGCTTACCGTTATCCAAGTAAACTGAAATTCTCGAGAAATAATTAAGACTGACATTCTGACCAACAGTACGAAAGAAATTTTCGAGCGACCACCAAAATAACGAGAAATAATTTTGTCAATTGAGAGTGACAGTTACCAAGATAAATTCGAGTTAAGTTAACCGATACTAGGCCAACCAAACTATAATTATGCCAGCAATGAAAACCACACTCAGCCTGCAGCAGCTAATGGTGGTGGCTTGTTGCATGCAAATGGATTCATAATTTTCAATTAAAAAAACCTTATTGTCTCTACGACAATTTACACCCAATCATTATGATAGCAGGACAGTTACCGGACCAAATTACAACTTAACATAGAATACGTAATAACAAAAGCAGCCCTATGAACAGCACCAGGTGGCTTATAGTTATTGGCCCTACTTAACTTAACATCCCATTTAATCCGTAAATCGATGTGAAAACAACCTTTGTTTTATACCTCAAAAATTTCAAATACGCGCGTATAATTTAGGTAAAAAGGAATTTTTTTAGGAGCAGAATCTTCGTTTGTAGGATACTTTGCTGCACGGTCATAAGGAGGCAGGGCTGAGGACCAAGAAGCATTGTACAGACATCAGCTGCAAGTCTAAGCTCTTACATTAGGACGATTGAGACAGGGAAAGCATGAATATTAAGCTAATTTTTCAACATGGGGACGTTTCTAAACGTAGAGAACGAGTCGTCTGCAAAGGAGATAATACAAAATTTCACTCGTGCAAAATAATACATGTCCAACGGTAAATTTGCTAAATTTAAAAAGTTTTTTTTTTCTGTTTCCTATTACCGCTTCCGCATGCACCTATGGTAAATAAGTCTTATAATCAAGTCGATCTAGTATTAATACCCATGAAGGATATTCGACGTCCGACAGAAAAATTCATTTCGTTAGTTTCCATAATTAGGATCTTTCCATCCCACCTTTCGAGCTTCTAGCATCCCAGCTCTCGGGTTTTTGGCACATCGACTTTTTGGCGCAGCAAGATTTTAACTCATGGAGTTTTTGGCACATCAATATTTCAGCGCATCGAGTTTTTGGCGCCTCGACTTTTTGGAGCATTAAGTTTTTGGCACATCAAAATTTTGGTGCACCGAGATTTTGCATGCAAAGATCATGCGGCTTGCGAGGACCATCAGTATTTGTCTTATTTAATTATAGAAGAATGACGATCCGAATAGTTTTGATAAAAGAGTTTACACTAAAACTAAATCATTAACAGATTTAAATGATATTAATCTAGGATAAGAACTTGTGGCATAAAAAAGCAGAGACCTTTTCTTTCCAAGAATGTGGTGGAACGTATCCTTCGATCCTGGACATCAACACGCTTCGCTTTTGAATCAACTTAGAAAAAAACGTATAAGTGTTGAAGGAATGCTCACATTAGTCTGCATTTTCGTGTTGGCGCTCGATTTTATTACAAACATTTCGGTTCTGTATCACTTGTACAAGCTGGACTCAATTGAAGACATTTCCTGCTTCGGTTTTGATGTAGAAATTCGACTCGGAAAGGATCTGAAAAGACACTGCCCTAGAATTTTGAAAATATCACAGCAAAAAGTAATCATATTGAAATGCTCAGAGTTTTTTTTCATCCGCAATTTTATTTCCCGACGGAGTTATCGCGAACAAGTATTATTATTATCGCGAACATGTTATTATCAAGTTATTATTTTAATATATTTTCCTTCTTATACTTTGGTATTAAATTTTTTGATCCATAAGCTATCTACGAGATGACTAGTAGATATTAGATGTAATAAATGCAAACATAAATTCTAGGTTGAAAAGCAGGTTATATCTATAAAACTAGAAAAAAAACTGAGTCAAATGCGTGTAGAGAATCTTAGTGCATTAGATAGTTTCAAAATAATGAAATATATCATCATAGATGCAACAATGCATTCAGTGTTTAACAGGGTTTCTAAATAATATCACTTATAACGCTCATACGTACCACTTCCATCTGTCTTGTTACAAATCGTTACATCTTCACCATACGTAAACCACAAGTCGGTCCCTAAATAAGCAAAGGCTTAAATGAATGGGAAGAAGTGTCACTGAATTCAGATATAAAAGAAACTAAAAAATTTATTAATAATATTATTTTCATTGACATGAACAACTTGTTAAGGATAGTTCAGCAGTGTTAATCATCTCGAACCATCATTAGCAATCGTTCATATGCTGGGTTAAAAATTCTGGAAGAGCTGCCATGGCACATTTTATTATTAGTATGATACTAAGGTAATTGAACGCTCCAAATAGATCAAACCTCAGTTCATTGATGACGTCATCTTCAAATAAAGTGTGAACGAAGCAAGGGCTGATAGGAAAGAGAAGTTTCCTTTATTGATTGGAAAAAAACGCGTGTTGCACTGGCTGCAGTCTCGTTCAAGGGATGTTGGAAAATGTTATTGTTGGAAAAATTTGCTCAACCGCGAAATTTGATTTCAATTTTCGTTCCCTTTCTTTCACTAGTAATAGGAGATAAGAATATGAGCTAAAAGCTCCTCTGCTAAAGTGCCCGAGAATCCATGCGACCACGCAATCCTATAATCAGCTTATCGATATCTCGATTTATTTTTTTGAAGGCGTACAAGATTTGGAATCTCGATAAAGTGTGCGATTAAGCGAAGCCTTGTAAAACAACGTCAATTAATGACATCTGTACACGCTCTCTATCTCTATCCGAAGAGAGTTCACCTCACTATTGAAGCGTAAGTAGAAGTTGAGCAGTTAATTCCCGAGACTTCAATGTATTGTCTATGCAAGTTTTCATGGCATTACAACTATAAATGAAATATTGACGTTAGAATGCTTTCTATGATTACAGTATTATTTCAATCTTATGTTGAGAATCACCCAAGAATATTCACGAAGCATTACTGCGAGCAATGCATTAAACTGAGGTCTTTATAAATGTACAGTACAGTTATTGTCATAGCGCATTGCTCTCAAAAGATAAAGCGAAAATTGTTACGAAAATTATTGTAATAGAAAAATCGATTTGATTATTAATGGCATTGCAGTTTCGGATTTAATACATTTGTTTCAAACATTTTCAGGATAAAGTATCAGTGAAAAATGATTGTTTCAAGAAAGGAAACTGCGCCAGATTTATGTTAATATTATTTTAGGTATTGCGAGCAGGGACATAAATTTTGCGAGGGTCGAAGGAATTGCTCTCTTAATGCATAAAACTTCCCATTTAATGCACAATAAGCGTCATCATAAGTAAGATGAGTCACTTGAGGTCGAAATAAATAATACTACACCTTATCCGGCATCAAAAAATTGCAAGAAGTCCATGCATTTTTTTTAGTTTTCAAAACCGGAAACGATTCATATTTACAGTCACCGAAGCAGCTAGAGCCGGCCTACGCAGCCTAGTCTTATAGCACGGTTTCCATCTCCTTGAATTCTCGCATGTCCACCATGGATGATCTGAAAATGAAAACAAAGCCATCAATCATATAAGTCCAACAACAAATCTTAGATGCATATAATGCTATGAGGTCCTATAGCTACTCAAGTGCCTGGCATTAAACCTAATCGCCTCAGACGCGCGGGAAAACGGACTCATTTTTAATGGGCAAGATAAAAATGTAACGACAAATTTCTTAGGCTCGCCTGCAGAGTTAGTTCTCAACCAAGGTCTACTCCTGGTCTCAGATTACTGATACTTTAGCTAGAATTGTTTATTCCATGTAAATGCTTTAGTTTGGGAAAATCTCTTGCATATTGTAGTTTGAGAAGATGTTTTGTTGCAACCAATCACTCTGATGATTGGTTGCCGCACTCAAGCCCAACGGTAATTACCGTCGATATGGTCGTTTGGCTGAAGTGGCAGAGCTCTAATATAGACGCACAACAGTTAATTTCTTCTTCACTGAACCTATATAGGTAACTATGAAAGGATATCAGTTATCAATTGTGCCTTTAACACAAATGTTGATTGAAAACCAGACAGTTTAATTCCCACCAAGAGTATCTTTTTTCATAAAGAAGGATGAGATTTAAATGGTTATTTATTGAACAATGTCCTAAAATCAGCCCACCCGAGGTTGTAGCGTGCTGCGTTGGCCCAAAGCAAATAGGGTTTAAATAAATTGAGGGTATTTTATAAAAGTGGATCACTAAGACAATTAATAGAAAATTTTGTTCACTGGTGTAAAATACATAACTGATTTAATATCATTACTTATCAACGAATGCAAGAAACAAATTAGGATAAAATGCTCAAGTAATTTTTACTATTTACCAACATCGAAATGCGCAACTAAACTCACCTGTGGCGAGGTCCAGCGGCCACCATATAATTAGCACCTCTGAGGAAGCCAGCGGCCTCAGCCGCGTCTTGGTAGATGAGGGAAGTCGTGCTGGCGCAGGGCACAGCCCGCACACTGCCCGGGCTGTCACCTAAACTCCCCTCTAGAATAAGAGCACCAGTGGTGCTCACGTTGGTGGGCGAGAGGCTCGTCATGTGGGACACGTCGCTTGACTGATGTGACAACATCGCTGAGGACGAAGATTGCGTGTAGTATGATCTTCTGTTCGGGTCATTTGTGATGATGTTGTTGCGCGTCATGTCGCGGATGGCTAGCATCTCGCGTACCGTGGCGCTCGGGGTGTTAGGATGAGACGTTCCCCCGCCTGCTGACTGACGGTCGTAACCTTCACCACGACGAAGAGCTTGCGGGTAACCGCCAACGCCTCCGCCGCGGCTGCTTGACGGAGTGCCAAGACTGGCGAGAGAAACAGTGCGTATGTAAACTGGCACTTATAGGTTACGCGCTTATGAAACCATGCGTTGTTTGTATGATCTCCTTGTATTAAAAGACATTTCCACGTTTTATAGCCAAAAGATTTAATTTATTCGATTGTATATAAAATTATAATAATAAATGCATACGATGAAAATGTCTAAAAAGATTGTTAATAAAATTACATGGATAAGATTCTCTTTTCAATATTGAAGGCTTAAATCTCTTTAGTAGTACATTTTAGTTTCGAAATTAAACAAGCGAATCTTGGATAGACTGAATATTCAAATAGTAGTTTAAATTCTCATAAACATGAAAATCATTTATTTAATCCGGGAAACCTGCGATACTTTGTAGACGATAAACGCATTTTCTAATCATTTGGAACAATGGCACATTCTGTCATATGACATGTAATGAGCTATAGCCTCCTTATTTTAGAGGTAGTTTGTTTATTTAAATAATGTGAGAAAATGTGAGGAATTGTTAAGAGCTCAAACGAAAAATGTACAACAGTATAAACTCTACATATAGTTATTTAATATATTCTCAATGAAGGTCCGACTCATTGTCATATTGCAATTTCTCGTTTGAAACGATCAACAGAAGATCCAGAGTTTAATGATCTAATCTAGAGTCGGATTACCGTACAACATAATCCGCTCTAACCCTCCGAGGACTTAATTAAGTTCCTGAGATCACTGAATTGAGTGAGATTTTAGAGGGAAATTTCACACGTGGACAGAGTGTAAATTTTTTATTCCGTGCCATTCTTGGTGGGCGATGTTAGTATCGTCTTTTGGGTCTAATATTCCGAATGTTGAGAGATGATTGGTTCATTGATGTAATGTTAAGGCTTTTAAATAGGTGAAGAAAATTTGGTCTTGCCACTATAAAAGACTGTCTAGACGCTATAGCTGCGTGCAGTTTCGCAAAAGTCTACTCCTTTTCTGTTTATATATCACAGGAGCCATCGAGTTTTGTTATAAAGCGAGCGGTATTTTTATTATTATAAACATCCACAAGTCAGTTAAAGGGCGCATTTCGAGATGATTTTCATAAATCTGCGAGCGCTGGGAGTATACGGGGCTACAACACTTGTTTCAAATATAATGTTCATGTATGTGCTATATAAAACAAAAAAGCTCAGAATCTAAGCGATAAGTGTTAACAGTTCAGTCTCTATCGATGTATAATGGTTAATTTTCCACGAAGTTCCTGACGATAGCTAATTGAGCTAGAGGTCTTATTTAAATTTGTGACCATTAAATTTGTCATCGAGATCTAAACGACTGATAAACATGTCCGCTATTAATCTACATTATTTCCGGTTGATTTAAGCTACATTAGATTATATTTGGCCTCTATAACTTCATCGGAACTCTTTTTTTCCCCGCCCAAAGCCGCTAACATCATTTCTCGCCGCCCCTTCCTCTGGTAGCCAATCAATACCACCATCGTTTGTCGTGCTGAGGTCGGCAGCCCCTGAACAATCTTTCAAGCCCACACGAAAAAAAGTCCTTCATTTGAAGTTAGCTTTAGCAGAATGAATTATTCTTTATTATTTTCTTACGTTTGTGTGGATTTTCTTACGTTTGTGTGTATTTTCTTTCGTTTGTGTGTTCCTACGTCTCATGGACTCTACCACTGATTGCTGAACTCAATATGACCACACGTATTTTGTTAATCATCGAATCTTTTTTTCACGGCTGATATTCAAATTTTTGTAATAATTCGAGTTGTTGCTTCTGAATGTGAATAATGTTATTATAATATGTTGAGGATTTTCTCTGTCAGAATATAAGTTGTCTGAAAAATATTTTTCAGCGTAACCACTCTATTAATTAAATGATCAACACGCGGTTGTGTTTATTGTTGTAAATACAGTAGGCCGGGCAATTTTGCAGCTAAAAGTTTTTGCAAAATTCGATGCTAAAAAGGAAAATAATTTAATTAGCCCTCGAGGATCGATCTTTTCAAGATGAGAGCCCTCCTCTGGAGATCCATAATTAAACTCGCCGGCCTTTATTCAGTTACGTCGCCTTGCCGTCCTGGCGCATCACCTTAAGCCTTCTATCCCAAATGGCTGGAAAATATTTTGTGTTGATCAAAAGAAGATTGCCCTCGTTTTTACCGAGGTTACTTATTTCTTTTCTTCGCAGAAAATGTGTTTTTTGATTGGAAGATCAAAAACTAATTTAATTTAAATTAGGGACGATGAAGCGCTTATGTCAACGTAAAGCTGGGCATTGAACACTTGGCGGAAACGTTAAAAACGCGTTTGAAAGAAGAAATCTTTGTCATCATTATAAATTTCGCGTTATTTTGAAGCATTGTGCTTTTGTTCAAAAGCCTAAGGCAACTGATATTGAAACCATATCACGCCAAAACAAACTGACGAGCAGCTTGCTTTTTTAACAGAAAAAAACGGGGAATCGAAGAAGTACATAAACAGCAGAGAATATTTCTTTAGACCTGCCTTAACGAAGCCCTAACCATTTACCTTTTACCAGCATTGCTTAAATCGAGAAAGCGTAATGCGTTTTATTTAAACTATCAGCCAGACTAAAGTCGTAATATTTTATTAAAGGATCATAGAGTTTAACTTTTTTCATGTTTAAATTCGTGAATCTTGGGCGATGGCTTGCACATCATTGAACTGAAACCCACGAAAGGAAGCCCATCATTAAGACCTATATTTTATTCTCGCAACACCCAAAGTAGAGATTTGAAGTGATCACTCTCAGGACTGCGCCTCAGAGTCACTTCTTCTGAAGAAAAATGAAGATTTCAGAGACGATTTGTCAGAGGGAACGACGCTGGCCTGACCGAGACACACGAGAGCGACCACGGCGAAGGTAAGAGAGATTTTTCAGGTCCCTCTGAGTGACTTATCGGCCGGTGAAGAGTGAGAAAAATTGTCATGGTGAACGGCACCCAACTTTTAAACAGGGTTGAAGGTCTCCCAAAATAGAGAAATTACTTGTACGTGTCATTTCACGCCGTATATCTTGTTTGCATGTTTCTATTATATTGCGCATGAATTGGAGTAAACGCCAATCAATAAGTATTAAAAATCAGTATATTAAAAAATATAAATAAACCTGAAATTTATGGAATTTGCAGGCCACATATATTGTGGCGCGTGTTATTTGAGCCTGTGACTGCTGAAAAAATCATTTATTTTATACATACGCAATTAGAAGCTTGAAATGAAACCATGAAAACTGTCAAACTATGCTATGACAAACTGTCAAACTATGCTAACAAAACTATGAAAACTGTCAAACGTAAATTATGATAATTATTGACCAAACTGAATTCTCTGTCCGACTCGCTTGTCTCTCTGAATTCTCTGTCTTCGCAATCGGTCGGTACAATGACAAATTATTTTTTATCTGCAATTATCAATAAATTGATATTATCTAATATTTATATTATCCACCTGTTATCATGAGCCTGCTCATACCCAAATTTGAACAAGACAAAAAAAAAATTCGGCCAAATTTGAAATTTTGTCGAATCCGTATCCTCGGCGCTCCAAACAGGCTGGGCGCAGTCAGTAGCAGGTCTGGGGCTAGCATGGCATATTATAACGCCTAAATTCTAGTTTATTCCTAACGTTTGAGCTCCTAACAATTATTATTCTTTTACGAATCGATCTCAAATAATATTTTCATACCAATTTTTTATCTTTATCATTTTACCTACTAAATTTATATGCGGTTAGTGCGATTAGACCCTAATAATGACTCTCAAAAAGCTGTCATTAAGGCAAGGCAAAAATCAGTAGTAAGGAGAGTTGCATAAACATGAAAAACCTCATTTATAATTTATTGATAGTATTCGAGACGAGACACGCGTGTTATATTCCACACTTTGTCCTAGAAATGTCGATAAGGATTTTATATCTATTTTTAGCCAAAAACATTAATTTAGCTCAATTGAGTGATAATTAGACTCACAAGAGAACACATTTAGAACCCGGCAATACGCATTGAGAAATTCGCTCGTATGGTTCATTGGACGCAGCGTCGTTTGAAGCAATTCCTATTTGGGCAATTAATTCAACTTGTATCGACAGGAGACTGAGATCATCATTGAATCAATTAAGAGCAAAGCATATTTTTTATAGTTGCCTGAAAACAATATTTATACGAAATCGTATCACTTACCAACTCCACTCCTGAAAGTAATGAAGGTTATGTTGCGAAAAACAATTACCATGCATTACGATCTATTTTCTAGAACACTCTACAAGAGGTATTTAACAGAAAGTTTAATAGCTGATTTCTGAATAATTATAAAATGACTAAATACCAGCGAATAAAGCTATGTAAAGCTACACACCTGAATAATCAAATGGCGTGCGACATTTCTTAGATTCTCAGTGATGAAAAAAAAGATGCTATTTAACTTGAGGTAGATACTATAGTGCTCTACGACGAGTGTTGCTGCTATGGGTGCAGAGGAACGCGTGGAGAAAGAGATTGAATTAGTTCCGACTTGTCTTTAAACTGCATGCTACATCATGAGCTCGGATTCTGCATCTTTTATAAAATTCATCTCATGACCGAAGGTTCTTCAACCAAATCGATCATGGGGTTATAGTCACTCAATTGAAATTTAAATTGTTTCTATCGGCTCTAAAGAAGCCATTTGGTTTGGAAATATGCATATAAAAGTTACCTCGTTATCTCTGACGACAATCCGGTAGGATATCAGCATGTTGCCACTATCGGCAACATGTTGGTAGTTTATGCTAACACTAACAGTTCATCGATGTAGCATACATTTGAATGATCTACAATGGTAACCAAGCTAAGCGAGGAGGAGGGCGATGTATATGTGTTTGTGGCAAAAAAAATATGTTCAGGATCAGCTTGAGAAATAATGTGCTTCTAAACTTATTTTACATGTTATAAGCATAGAGAACAAGCTGAAACAATTTAAAGCAACGCTGATGAAGCATTTGAAATGAT